CCGTGGCCTTCATTCCCGTGGTCCCAGAGGGGTGGATGCCTTCCCTCCCCTGGGTGAGGGCGCCCACTGCCGTGGACCCCCGGCTGGATCCCAGCTGATGCCAGGAAGCGTGAGGGCCGTCTGGGGTGATGTCGGCTGGTGTTGATTAATGGGTGAGGTTTCTTCTCTGGAAGTTTGCACCCTACTCACGGGGGGATTGGTGGTGGCATTCTGGCCAGGAGAGCTGTGGGGTGAGCAGTGGGGCTGTGTTTCCACGGTGGGGTGCCCTGGAGACAGGGGCACCGGACGCCCCCTGAGCTCACGGAGCAGGTGGCCCCGGCGGGTCCAGGATGCTCTGGCTTCCAGGTCCTTTGGCTCCAGAGCCCCTGTTTCTCCTCTAGGTTTCTGGGCTGCCTTGTGCCCTGGGCGGTCCTCTGCTGGGAGGGCTTTGTGCAGGTTGTCGCTGGCCAAGGCGGGGCTCTGTGTCCGTGTTTGCGCCTGGGACGCTTGCACAGCGACCGTGGGGCCGGGTCTGTGACGGGTAGCTCGTTGCTCGTGTTGCGTGCCGCACTGGTGGTTTGCCGGCTGGGCGGTCGCGTTGAGGGGGACAGGCTCGTGTCCCGTGTCACTGCTGCAGCCCCGTGTCTTTCTGCGCACATTTTGCCTGTTCCTAGCATGCTAATCGGAGCCCCTGCGGCCTCACCAGTGGCCGTCCACTTGGTGTGCCCTGCTGCTCGGTGCTGGCCCCGATGCCCCTCCTCTGCCTCGCTGGCTCGCTCTGCTTAGGCTGAGCTTCCTCTGAGATTCTTGGCGCCGGTGAAGCCCCTGCTGGCTTTTCCGTTCGGTGCCGTGACACGCGACCCCTGCCGCCCGCCTGCGTGGTGCGGAGCGTGCTTCTCCCTGCTTCCCCCGAGCTCTTGTCCTTCCGGACCTGGACGTTGGGCCACCTCGCGAGGCTCAGGTCTGCGCGGGCTGTGGCTTTCCACGGAGCGAGAGGCTTCGCCTTTCCCCGGCCCTGGGTCCCTGTCCCAACAGCGTGGTGGCGTGGGGGCGTCACCGACACGTCTCAGTCCTGCCCCATGTTTTGTGTTGCTTGCGAGACTGGATTTGCTGGGCTCTTGCAGGGTTGTGTGTCTGTGATTCTGGCTCTGTGTCAGATGCCGTGTCCGTGGTGGCTTCCGGGGATGGCGACAGCCCGGACGTGACGTCAGGGCTGTGTGGCCGGTGGACACTGAGGAGGGGGCGGGGCTGGGCAGTCGGCGGGGTTGCCATGTGCCAGGACTGCCGGGGGTCACATGGCCCTGGCCTTGGCCTTAGCCTTGCCCGCTTGGTCATCCGCGGATTCGCCCCGCACACGTCAGGGTGCATGGGATCAGCCCAGCTGTGGCCTTTGCCCTTTCCTCAGAATGGAAGACACGGCACTGCTTCCCCGCCTGTCACTGCCAAGGGCTTCCTGGTGCCACAGGGGCCTGGCGTCCGGACTGGGCCTGAGCACTGGCAAGCTGGCCCCGGGCCGCTCCCCCCCAGCCCCGCTCAGGCCCCTCCTGGCCCACATGGGTCCGAGCGCCCAGCGGTGCAGAGCCGTCCAGCGCACTGGGCATCCTGGCCTCGCCCTGGCCTTGCTCTGACCCTGGCGGCTCCCCGTGCGTCAGAATCACCTGTGAGCGTGGAGGTCTTGCTCAGGTCTGTCCCCTGGAGACCCAGCTGGCCTGGGGCTGGGCGCCCAGTAGCACCCCCGGGACTCTGCCCGGCGTAGCGTCCCGTGGCGGTCCATGTCCTGAGTGTGGCCACTTCCGGGGGCCAGTGGATGGTTGTGTGGACCTTGGGGTGTGCGTGGACCTTCCCCCAGGGGTAGCAGTTACAGGGCAGAGGGAGGAGAGTGAGTCACCCCCGGCTGGCGCGGCTCTCCTCTGAGCGGGCCTCGGCTCTGCCGCCATCGCCGCTGGCTGCCCCTCGGGCCCACAGCTGCCGGCCAGGACGGGTTTGCGTCTCATTCTCTGGCTTGTTTAATGGCTCTGGGATCCGGATCACCTTCGCTTTTCTGTATGAGTTTTACTAATTCTTTGCCTCTACTAATTATGGGACTGCTTCGTTCTCGTTCTACTCAAGTTTTTTGAGCTCTTTCTGCTTATTTATAAAAAGGAGCTTATTTATTTATTTTTTTTTTGAAAGCAGAGCTACAGAGAGAGATGAGAGGTGTTTTCCATCTGCTGGCTGGCTCCCCAAATGCCCGCAACAGCTGGGATTGGGCCAGGCCAAAGGCAGGAAGGAGCCAGGAGCTACAACCAGGTCTCCCATGTGGGTAACAGGGACCCAGCTACTTGAGCCATCTGGAGCTGGATCGGAAGTGGAGCAGCCGGGACACATTCCCAGGTCTGGTGGTCCAGCTGGGGGCGCGGTTCAGCCCTTGGCACAGCCGTCGTTCAGAGATCCGTGCAGACCGTGACCCGGATCCATTTTGTGGCCGCCTCCCTGAGTGGGTTTCATGGGCAGGGATGGTGTGTCCTAGGGCTGACGGAACGTCCTAAATCCCACCTCTGCTTGTGCTGGGCCCCTCGGACGCCTGGGGAAGCGTCTAGAACGTTCAGCTCCCGACTCCACTAAGCATTTGCTATAGCAGAGGTGGACGAGGCCGCCTGGGAGGTGGGGGTGGGAGGGGCTCCCGTGTGCTGTGCTGAGGGAGGACCGGATGTCGGTGCAGCCCAGGGCGGCTCTGCTCAGGAGCCAGTGGTAGCAGGCGCAGCTTCTCCCATGCCCTGGCTGCCGTTGGGCGCTTCAGGGCGGGGCCTCTGGGCCAGCCCTGCTCAGCCGCGACACGTGGCGATTTGTGCCGGGGATCATCATAAAACACGCTGATTGGGGGCAGTGTGGCGTGCACCTGGCACACGCCTTGCTCCTGCCCCTCGGAGCAGCTGCCTGGCCGTGCGGTTCCAGGAACTGGAGAGGGGACGGCTGGGAGACAGGCCTTCTGCTGCGGCCGAGTGGTTGGCCCGTGACTAAGTCAGTTTTCTGCCTGTAAGCAGTGGCAGTCCGGGTGGCAGCCACGGCAGTGCCAGCAGCAGGCGCAGGTGCACACAGCTCTGCCCGGCCCCAGGGGTTTGATCACCCGTGGAGGGCACAGCACCGGGACTCGGGCCCAGGAAGCTGGCTGCCCCCAGTAGGCACGGAGCTCCTTGACCTGGCAGCCTGTGACTGTGGCTTCCACCTGCCCCTGGCTGGGGCGCGCACGTGGAGTTCTAGGTTCTGCCCGGCAAGGAGACACCCCGAGCGTCTTACCACAGGGGGAAGCAGACCCCAAGCAGTCCTCCCACACTGTGAGGGGAAAAATCCAAAGGGAAGAGGTTTGGCCTGGAGCGTCCAGTCTCAACCCCTCCCACCCTCGTGGAAGGCAGCTCTCTCCCTAGCAGATGACAGCGTGGAGTTCTGTGCCTGGGGCATGGTGCAGGGCTGTCATCCCCTGGGGAGGGACCACAGCGTTCATCCCATCACCCCTGCCCAGGACCCCTGCCAGGTACACTGTGTCTGCGGAGAGCTGTTCCTGCTGGGGGCTGGGGGCACCTGGCGAGGTGCTGGCAGAGACCCAGGCAGGGCAGTGGGGTCAGGGACCTTCTAGAAATTGCCTTTTCATAAATAGAGGCCAGGTCTCTGCTGGATTTGTTTATTCAGCCACACAGTTCCAGCTCGTGCTGCGGCTGTCGTCAAGTGATAGTTCTGAGTAACCCAGTGAGCCCTGCCGAGGTGACAGCAGGTGTCTGTGGGGCCAGACAGCCCCTCCCTCCCTCCCTCCCTCTTCCCTCCCTCCCCCTCCCTCCCCATCTTCCTCCTTCCCCCTCTTCCTTCCTCCCTTCCTCCCCCTCTCCCTCTCCCTCACATTTCACGCAGGGTCACCTGCAGTGTAGCCAGGGCTTCTGTCCCTTGGACCCGTCTTCCCTTTGGCTGACCTTGGGGGCTGTTGGAGCAGAAGGGGCAGGGGCCTGCCAGGCCTCAGCATGGACGGTGATGTCACATGGATGGTGATGTCACGTGGACGGTGATACCACATGGACTGTGATGTCACACGGGTGGTGTGATGTGAGAAGGGCCCTTCCCTGCCATCTCCTCACAGTAACCCCAGGCCCTTCCTAGCTGAGGGTTCTCTTACAAAACACCTGAGCAGGGGCCAGCACTGTGGCACAGTAGAGTAAGCCTCTGCCTGCAGTGCCGGCATCCCATATAGGCGCTGGTTCGAGACCCAGCTGCTCCACTTCCTGTCCAGCTCTGCAATGGCCTGGGAAAGCAGAGGATGATGGCCCAAGTCCTTGGGCCCCTGCACTCACATGGGAGACCCAGAAGAAGCTCCTGACTCCTGGTTTTGGAATGGCCCAGCTCTGGCCATTGCGGTCATCTGGGGAGTGAACCAGCGGATGGAAGACCTCTCTCTCTCTCTGCCTCTGCCTCTCTGTAACTCTGCCTTTCAAATAAATAAATACATAAATCCTTAAACAAAAAAGGCACCTGAGCAGTCCTCAGAGCTGGCAGGGTCATAAAAGCAGGCAGTGTCACGGCCCCGAGGCGCCCTGGGCAGCGGGTCAGATGGTCTCCTGCAGAGCTGGCTGCACAACTCCGCAGGGACACTCACAGCCTCGCAGACACCTGTGCCGGTAGGTGCTTAGTGTTCACGCGTGCAGCCTGCCCCGGAGAGCGAGCCCAGCTCACGGCGGCGAGGGGTGGGGGTGGGGGAGGCAGCGTGTGCAGACTTGGCTCACAGGCACACCAGGAACCCCCCCGGGTTTCTTCTGAAGTGGGGGGAGGTCTCCTTCCGGGTGCCAGCCCCATAGCAGGAGCTGGGCAGAGCTGATGACTTGCAGCCCTTGCTTCTCAAATCTTGCCGTAGGACGGTGAAGCGCAGATTCTGGCTCTGAGGCGGCCCTGCGTGTGTGCAGGCCTGGCCGCTCCCAGAGGGTGGGGTGGGTGCTGTGGGCTGGGGGACGCAGGTGCAGTGTCCAGGGGCCCCGTGAGCTGCAGAGTTCCTGCCTGGGCGGTAGAGCGTGGGCCTGCTCCTTGGCGGCTGGGACACGCTGGGGCCTGCTGGGGGTGACAGGAGGAGTCTGCTGGGGAGACACGGACAGCAGCGGTCAGTGGCATGGCCCTCGCTGTCCTGGTGCAAATCTGGGGTCTCACACCAGGTCAGTAGCAACTCCGGCCCTTTGCGTGGCACTGACAGCGTCCCCTCTCCAGGCCACCAGAGTGGCTGTTTTCCAAGATAAGGGTGAGTGTGAGGGCGGCTCTGCAGCTGCCTAGGGCCCTGCGGGGGAGCAGGGAGCTGGCCCCTGAGCCCCGGGCAGAGTAGGCTCTGCTCCTAACCACTGCAGCTGCAGCTGTGCAGCTGGCGTGGGGGTGGCCCCCAGTGCTGTGTTTACACCCAGTCGTCAGAGCTCTGTCCATGTGCTAGGTGGAGACCGGAGCCTGTTCAGGACCCCCATGGACACGGAGGGCATCTGACCGAATCCGGGCACCGTCAGAAGTGGGGGTGTGGGGAGCCTTGCAGGTCGGCGTCCACGGTGGGGCTCTTGGCCACCCCTGTGCAGTGGGACTTGTCGCCCCTCCCACCGAGCCCCAGAGCTGCAGGATGGGACCCCCCCCGAAGCCACAGAGCCGTGTCCCCGCTGAGACTTGGGGTTCCCTAGAGAGCCACACCATGCCATCCTGCTCCCCGGGAAGATTGTCCGTGAGAGTCCCTTACTGGCCTGGCGCGGGTCAGAGAGGACCAGGGTACTGGGTCCCGTCGGAGAGGATGGTACCTGTCACTTCCTTAGCACCCTCCCAGAAGGAGCCGTGGATCTTCCGGGGGCTTTTCCAGAGAGGCCTGGGTCTGAGGGTGTTGGGTGTCCGGACAGCGTGGTAGCCTTTGTCCCGTGTCCCTTTCAGGACTCGGGGGACCGAGGGGCCTGCACAGTGCTGGGCGTGTGTGGTGGTGGTGGTGGTGGGTGCTGTGACCACGGCGTCCCTGGGATTTGCGTGCGGTCACACCTCACCGTGTTTCGGCATGTCCTCACACCTGCTGGAGAAGCGCTCCTGCCATCCGCCCATCCATCACTCACCCAGGTTCTGGTGTTGCCGGGCCTGGAGGGCTGTGAAAGCGCAGGGCGCAGGCACGGCCTGGGGTCGAGCTGGCCAGGCGCTCAGCACTTCCTGGTCACCAACTGGGAGCCCCCTCCCCCCCCCAGCCAGGCTCCTGCCCCAATGCCTGGTCAGAAAGTCCCTTTGTTCAGCGACACTGGCACAAACCAGCTGATGCCGTGGCCAAGCAGGATGTGGTTCCGGGCAGCTCCCAGCTGCCCCCAGGCGCCTGCTGCCGCCTTGCCGCGGCCTTGGGGGTGGGGGTCGGACCTGCCAACATCAGGGTGCTTCCTGGTCCTGGAGGGAGACCGCACGCCGCAGTCCCAGTGTCCTGCATCCTTAGCTGACAGGCGAGCGGTGAGAGAACCCCGAGTTAGACCGGGCCCGGGGGCGGGGACACAGCCTGGGAGAGCGGGCAGTCCTCCCAGGGCACCTGCCTTGTTCACCCCCAGGCAGAGCCTGGGGCTTCTGAGTGTGGAGGAGCAGGGAGGGGCGGGCCCCCCCTTCCAGCCTTGGCCGAGACCTTGACGACACGAGGCTGCTGCTTCCCCAGCTCAGCCGCCCCTGGAGCCGCGACCTCCCGGAGCCGTGAGGTCCTGTGTCCGCCCCTGGAGCCGCGACCTCCCGGAGCCGTGAGGTCCTGTGTCCTTGCTGGGATTGGGTACACGCCCCGAGGAGCTACACGCGCTCTCCAGGGAGTTCCTTTGTTGCCTGGACGTGTGTGTGCGTGAAGGGCCTTCAAAACCTTAACAAAAGCTCGTATTGTGTGTATTCGTTTTTCTTTCTTTTCTTTTTTTGCACCAAAATAACCTCTTTTAGTCCCATTTTCCCTGCAGCTCTTGGCAGCCCCGGTGCAGCCATGGTGTGTCTGCCGGTGATGCCCTGTGGCTTTGCTGTGCCCGCGCCGGCCCTTGCTCGCTCGCTCCTCAGCTGTCCAGGAGGGTCAGAGGCTCACAGCCGGCGGCTGACCCGGGCAGGCTGTGCAGGGCGCCGTGTGGGACTCCCAGTTCGGCGTGCAGTTCGCCGTGTGGGGCCGGCTCCTGGGGCGCGCTCCCGGTCCAGCCACACGCGGGGTTCAGGTTCGCCTGCGTTGCCCCCGGCCTTGGCGTTGCCAGTGTTTCTGGCTCAGGGCGGCGTGATGGGCGTGCGGTGGTATCTGGCTTGCTCTTGACTGATCTTGTCCTGTAGGTTGCACACAACGTGAGGACCCTCTTCAGGGCTCTGACCCGTCTTTCTCACTGACCTGTAGGAGTCCTTGGGGTTTTCTGGAAAATGGTCCTTTCTTGGTTGTGACCCGTGCAGAAGTGGCCCCTGCGTGTCCCTCGCCCTCGTGGGGCACGTGGTGCCTTCTTCCCTCCCAGGGGAGGGCTGGCGGAGTCCTGTCTCCGAGGCCACCCCAGTTCTGGCCGTGCGTCCTGGTCTCGTCCCAGGGCCGTGGAATCGGGCTCCTGTTTATGGTTAGGGCCTGACGCCGCCTTCCTGAGTGGAGCCGGCTCGGCCGCCCCGTGGCTGCCTGTGGCTCGCCGTGCAGTCTGACTGCTTTCCTGTTCCAGCAGCACGCCAGCCCCTTCGTCACGTGGGAGCACAGCCATGAGTCAGCCCGGAGCCCGGGGACCCCCAGCCGGCATGCGGGAGAGCGGCAGTCTGTTCTGGGCGCCCCAGAGACGGCTTCAGGGCTGCAGAGGAATGTGGGAGCGGGCGGGTCCGGGAGCCCTGTGCTCAGGCGCGCATTCCTGGACGAAGTTAAAATTAGAAGAAGCTGCTGCATTTCCTGCCATTCAGCCGCAGCTGCCGCCTGTTTGCTCGGGGACTCCTGGGCTGCGCTCTGTCCTGGGCTTCTGCCAGAATGGGAGGTGAAGTCATGCTTTGCAGGGGGCGGTGAGCTGTTGCCATGGCGCCCTGGGTTGTGGGCGTGGCTGCTGCGTGGGCGTTCTTGCAGGATGACCAGGGTGGGGAAGTGTTCCGGAGCGAGCCCTCCTCAGAGTTGCAGGAGACTTTTATGTCAGTTACTTCCTTTCTTTAGAAAGCGGCTTTGTCATGGGACGGAGACAGCATGGCACACCTGCCCTGACGTGAACCTCTGCAGCCCAGCCAGGCCGGAGGGGTCTCGGGAGGGCGCTCGGGCCCAGAGCATTTGGACGTTTGGGGCACACGTATTCTAAAATGTGATTTGTCGTGTTCCTGAAACTCCTGCTGTTGCATGTCCTGGGTTTTACCTGGAGACCCTAACCCTGGGGGATCCACTGTCTCATGCTCCATGTCAGACTCCGAGGAGGGCCGCTCCTACTCCTGGCCGGTTGCTGGCACCACGGGCACGCCCGGGGCACCACTGGAGCTGCCCGCCTCCAGGCTGACTTGGTTACCCGCGCCGTGCCAGGCTGGAGTACAGCCTGGGGTACCGTGGGCGTCCGTGGCACTGTGCCCATTTTGTGGATGGGAATGTAGAGGGTTCGCAACCTGTCTCGCAGCTTGTAGCTCGTAAAGGGCAGAGCGGGGGGTGGGGCTGTTGGGCTGTGGAGCCGCGGCCCTGGAGCCGCAGGGCACGGGAGAAGTGTAACCATGACCTTTCCGGGACCTCACCCACAGGGAGGAGCTGCCGTGGGCCTGGGGTGTGGACGAGGGGGCGTGCCGAGAGCTTGGGGCCACAGGCTTGGTGCACAGCTACAGGGCAGGGCGGGGGCGGGGTCCTGTGGGAGAGTCTCAGGGAGGGGTTAAGGGAGTGGGCAGTGCATGCTGGGGACCCTGGACACGAGGGGTAGGTCCAGGCTGGGGAGAACCTGGGAACAGGCAGGGAGTGGGCGGCCAGGGGGAGTGGCCCAGAGAAGCAGGGCAGTGGGTGTCCATAGGGAGGAAGTGCGGAAGGCCGGGCAGGGATGGAGGGGGCAGCCCACCAGCTGGCCCCAAACCGAGCTGCAGGTTGTGGGTGCCTGGGGCGCGGCTCCTGTGTTCAGTCAGCGGCAGCTGCTGCTCATGGAGCACTTTGCTGGGTGCCTGGCACAGGCCCGAAGGCTGGGGGACACAGCCGTGAGCAACACAGGTGACTCCTGTTCTGGGGACCCTGCGCTGAGTCCACGGGGCACTCTGCAGCTGTGCACGGGCGAGGACCTGGGAACCTCTGGGGTGGCATAATCACTCCACCAGTGATGTCACCCCTCCACCAGTGATGTCACCCCTCCACCAGTGATATGATTCCTCCACCAGTGATGTAATCTCTTCCACCAGTGATGTAATTACTCTACCAGTGATGTAATCCACCAGTGATGTCATTCCCTCCACTAGTGATGTCATCCTCTCCACTAGTGATGTCATCCCCTCAACCAGTGACGTCATCCCTCTACCAGTGATCTGACCTCCACCAGGCCCCACCGTTTTTATTTTATTTTATTTTTCAGTTGGGAAAGCAGAGGGAGAGACAGGCCGACCGACAGCTCCCCGCTGTGGTTCTCTTCCCAGATGCCCACGAGGCCTAGGAGGGGCCTGGGCCAAAGCCGGGAGCCTGGAGCCAGGAGCTCAGCCCAGGTCTCCCATGAGGGAGGCAGGGACCCTGTACTTGAGCCCCCGCGTCTGCTCCCAGGGTGTGCATTGGCAGGAAGCTGGAATTGGGAGCCAGAGCCGGGACCTCTCTGGTGTGGGATGCAGGCGTCCGGACGGCTAGCCAAATACCTGCCCTGGCCCCGCCTAGTAGGATTCCAGCTCGAGACTACCATGCTGGGGACCGGGCTGTGTGACAGGACCCTCGGGTGTCCGGGTGGCCCTCGGTGTGGCCCTGGGTGTCGGTTACCCCTCGGAGCCCCCAAGACAAGCCTGCCCTGCCCCGAGGGTGGTTTCTGATTTCCAGACCCAGAAAGTAAAGAAGCAGATGGCAGTTTGTGACGGCAGCAACACAGAAGCTGCCCAGAGAGGAGAAAGCTGGGGTCCTGGCTGGACGCTGGCTGCCCAGAGGGGAGAGAGCTGGAGCCCTGGCTGGACGCTGGACGCCCAGAGGGGAGAGAGCTTGGGGTCCTGGCTGGACGCTGGACACCCAGAGCGGGGAGAGCTGGGCCCTGGTTGGACGCTGGACGCCCAGAGGGGAGAGAGCTGGGCCCTGGCTGGATGCTGGCTGCCCAGAGGGGAGAGAGCTTGGGTCCTGGCTGGACGCTGGCCGCCCAGAGGGGAGAGAGCTTGGGTCCTGGCTGGATTCTGGCTGCCCAGTGGGGAGAGAGCTGGGGTACTGGTCGACGCTGGCCACCCAGAGGGGAGAGAGCTGGACCCAGACTGCCCAGAGCGGGGAGAGCTGGGGTCCTGGCTGGACGCTGGCTGCCCAGTGGAGAGAGCTGGGGGTCCTGCCTCAAAGCCGTCTGTCCTTGTGCAGAACGCTGGTGGTCATGTCACATCACCCCTATAGCTGTGCTCTGTGGCTGGAAGTGACCTTTTCCCCCTAGAGTGACAGCCGCTGTGTCCAGAGGAAACGCAGATCAGATGGAGTCTGTGTGGAAGTTGGTGACCGCCACCCCCTCACTCGCAGGTGCTCTCTGTGGATATCCCTGTACAAAACTGGGTGATGGGGGAGCTGGTGCTGTTGTGTAGCAGGTAAAGCCACCACCTGCAGTGCCAGCGTCCCACGTAGGTGCAGGTTCGAGACCCAGCTGCTCCACTTCCGGTCCAGCTCTCTGCTAATGCACCTGGGAAAGCAGTAGGAGATGACAAGAGTCCTTGGACCCCTGCACCTGCTGGGAGACCTGGAAGAAGCTCCTGGCTTCGGATCGGCCCAGCTCTGGACATTGTGGCCATTTGGGAAGTGAACCAGCAAGTACAAGATCTCTTTCTCTTTCTCTCTCTCTCTCTCCCTCCCTCTCTCCCCCTCCCTCCCTCATAAACTGGGAGGGGGAGGTGCAGCGGCATGGCGGTCACCTGCACGGGGGTGTTTGCTCTGTGTAGCACCTGCTGCTGGCTTGCGCTCAGCCCCCACGTCCCGGCTGGGTCGCCAGGGCCCCTGATCCCCGCGTGGGTGTCTTCTGTCTTGTTCTGTGCCCACACGAGCAGTGTTCAGTCCCGGCCCCTTCCATGCCTGACCTGTGTCACCCGGGCTCCGGAGCTCCCTTCCACCTGCTTGGAGCGGGACCCACGTTTTCTCTGTGCCTTACCAGGATAGGAGCTGGGTGAGGCCTTGGGAGTGCAGGGGCTATCGGCCCCCTCCCGTAGTCAGGGCGCCTGCCCTCGCGCCTGCCCTCGCCTGCCTGGGAGAGGGGAAGGAGGATCCAGGGCAGCCCTGGACTGGAGTGAGGAGCCCTGGCAGGGAGCGGAGGTGAGGTCAGAACCCACCCTTCCTGTCCCGAATAACCAGCTGGGCTGCGGCCTTCTCTCCTGCGCCCAGGCTG